TTTGATCTCCTTCTTCAGAAATGAGACAGGGTCAGTTTGATGAAACAGAAGATCAGGCGAGGGTTGGCTGAGCCTGTCTACACAGAGACAACAAAAAGAAAACCATTTCTTTGATGAATCAGTTGGCACTGAAACTCAACTTGATCCACGTGAGAAGTTCAAGGTGGACAATTTCTACACCATATCAGATTGCCTTAGGAATGAATTAGAGCACAGAGTGAATGCCTACTCAGAAATAAAGAAGCTGTTTAGTTTCTAGATGAGTTTATGCAATTTAAAGACATTTTGTCTTCTGCATCTGACAGGTCAGTGACAAACACCTCCACTATGCTGAGGTCCAAAGATGGTATTTTGACAACTGCCTTTCCAAACATTAGTATCTTGGTAAGAATATATATATATATATATATATATATATATATATATATATATATATATATATATATATATATATATATATATATATATATATATATATATATATATTTTAAGGGTCCTCTTACTTGCTTTATGTCCTTCTGCTTTTAGGTCCTCTTACTTGCTTATGTCCTTACTTGCTTTAAGGGTCCTCTTACTTGCTTTAAAGGGTCTCTTACTTGCTTTAAGGGTCTCTTCCTGCTTTAAGGGTCCTCTTCCTTGCTTTAAGGGTCCTCTTCCTTGCTTTTAAGGGTCCTCTTCCTTGCTTTAAGGGTCCTCTTACTTGCTTTAAGGGTCCTTCCTGCTTTAAGGGTCCCTCTTCTTGCTTTAAGGGTCCCTCTTCCTTGCTTTTAAGGGTCCTCTTCCTTGCTTTAAGGGTCCTCTTCCTTTATTTTAAGGGCCCTCTTCCTTGCTTTAATGGGGTCCTTACTTGCTTTAAGGGTCCTCTTACTTGCTTTTGGGTCCCCTTCCTTGCTTTAAGGGCCCTTCCTGCTTTTTAAGGGTCCCTTCCCTTGCAGGGGTCCTCTTACTGCTTTAAGGGGTCCCTCTTACTTGCTTTTGGGTCCTTCCTTGCTTTAAGGGGTCCTCTTCCTTGCTTTAAGGGGTCCTCTTCCTTGCTTTAAGGGGTCCTCTTCAATGACGACCATACAACATCTAGAAGGTGAACATCCAAGTGGTTCTTGTCGACATTCTCTATTTCCAAAGAGCATGAAATGAATTCCTTCCTCCAAAACCAAACTCAAGCCTGGTACTGGTGCTGTATCTCCTGTATCTCTACCTGGGATGTGTGTTTAATGCCTAACTTTAAACAAAAACACGAAACTACTGTAGATAACATAAGAGCTCAATAGTTTTAGCTGAAATGTTTCTTACTGGGAACACCTGAGGGTACCTACAGTTGTGGGGCACATTATAGTCAACAAATATTGGTTACCTTTCTTGGGCCCACACCATGTTACAGGGTCCCTCCTTACCTAACTGCCCTCTCAAATCTGTATGGGGCGAGGGCACGAACTCAGGCCGTGATATGGAGACACTCGGACGACTTAGCTAACGTGAAATAAATAAATAAATTAATTAATATTATTCTCTTTATTATTATACATTATAAAACTGTGTATATATATATATATATTTATAAGCTATATTTAACCTAAGGTATTTTAGTCTTTACGCATAAATGGCGAGACATGATTGGTTACACTGGCGATGACACGAACGACCCAATTTGATGCTTTAGCTCTTATGAACAAAGTCACAATTAGCTGCCCTATGATGTATAGTTTGGGGGGATAATATGTTGATTGTTAAGAGGTGACTTCAGGTGAGCACTTGAGGGGGTTGTAATCTTCAGGTGAGCACTTGAGGGGGGGGGTTGTAATCTTCAGGTGAGCAACTTGAAGGTTGTAATCTTCAGGGTGAGCCATAAAAGCTAAAACTACAATAGTATCATGAAGGCCTCGTCAGGACCACGTACACCAATCTCATATCATCAAGACCCTATACAACAACAAGTGGCTGGGGGGAATACTTTGTCCACTGTGGAAATAAACACACTAATATTTACCTCACGTCCAGGTAAAAAGCACGGTGTATTAACTGCACGTTTCTTCTGTTACGACGGCCCCACGCTCCGAGGGGACACACCCCTCACGAAGCCTCGGGGTTCAGTGAGTAGAATATATCGTAATAACAGGTTATGGGTTGTCGGAAAAAACCTCTAACGCTGTCTTTTGTGTTGATTGTGTGAATGATTGTGTAAGATAGTCAACATTGTTCTTTAATTGAGCTGCCAAGACGGGACAATGTTGCCGTTTGACCATGAACATTTACAAGATCGTCACTAAAAAAACTCGATTAGTAAGCATATAAATATTTTTCAAAGACCCAGAATAATCCAAATAATCAACAGAGCGAAAACTAATTAAATACCGTAATATAAACACCGCGGGTTATTTGAATCTGACGGAGTAAACGATTTTATGACATGAATCACAGGTACATTATCGTTACTCCTCTGTGTGACGTTCTCATTCTGTTTACATATTGGTCAGATACTTCGAATAATTATAAACAATATCGACTAGGGTGTGGTAAGCCCGGCCACCCACAAAACCTAACCTAACCCAACTTAATAATAATCAGCCATATCAATATTATTATCCACTGTGTTTTTCTGGCTAAATAAAGTGTTTCAATATGTATTAATAACCTAACCTAACCATAGCTAAATTAATCTAACCTTTAATGTCATCTGTAACCACACACACAGACATACACACAACAAAGACATACACACATACATACATACATACACACAAGTACACACACAACACATACATACATACACAGACACACACATACACACACACCAAACTAACCCCAATACACATTAAACTCATCAACACTCAAAATCCATTCCTCCGTCAGGTTCGAACAGCTCCCCTTTTCCGACACATCTCACTTGACATTCCGACGCATCACCTTTACTATACGCTTATGGGATCATGGGTTATACACAAGACCCATGGAGTGTGGGGTCTTATTTACCCATGACATTAGTTATAGCAGTACACCTTTGAGATGATGAACAGGTGATAAATTCAATAACTAATACATTACTCTAACACTACAGTTTGTATAAGTCAACTCACTACATTAATCTAACAGTACAGTTTGTCTAAGTCAACTCACTATATACAGTACATTACAAAGATCAATACTTAAACTAAAAACTACAAAATATATTACAAAAAGATACACAATTGTTAGTAAATTATATATTAAAACAGGGACCAGTGAATTGATTGGAGGTGGCTCAAACGACGCTGGGTGTCTGTGGTACACTGGTGTTTGGATATAATATGTACAGTCCCCTTCACTAGTGTGTTTACAGGGGCTGGTCATAAGGCCTAGGTACAGTCCTCTACTAGTGTGTTTACAGGGGCTGGTCATGCAACAGGTACAGTCCCCTCACTAGTGTGTTACAGGGGCTGGTCATATGGCCTAGGTACAGTCCCTCTATTAGTGTACCAGAGGCTGGTCATATGGCCTAGGCAGTCCCTTCATTAGTGTGTTTACAGGGGCTGGTCATATGGCTAAGTACAGTCCCTCTCACTAGTGTGTTTACAGGGCTGGTCATATGGCCTAGGTACAGTCCCCTTCACTAGTGTGTTTACAGGGCTGGTCATATGGCCTAGTACAGTCCCCTTCATTAGTGTGCAAGGGGCTGGCTCATATGGCCAGGTACAGTCCCCTTCACTAGTGTGTGTTTACAGGGCTGTCACATGGCCTAGGTACAGTCCCCCACTAGTGTGTTTACAGGGGCTGGTCATGCCTAGGTACAGTCCCCTTCACTAGTGTGTTTACAGGGCTGGCTCATATAGCCTAGGTACAGTCCCCACTAGGTTTACAGGCTGGTCATATGGCCTAGGTACAGTCCTCATTAGTGTGTTTACAGGGGCTGGTCATATGGCCTAGGTACAGTCCCCTGTCTATGGTAAACCTCTTTATAACGGAAACTTTTCAAAATGATCCGTAGATGGGTTTTACATCTAACGGACCCTCGATGTAATGGACTTTCATCGATATATAGTTCGTTATATTGAGGTTTCACCGCACATGGTTGCTACTACCCCAAGGTGCTGTGGCAACCTCAAGGTTATTAAAATATACGAGAGTCGATCCGGGCGAGAATGATCAACAAGGAGGTTGAGATGAATTCGTTATACCATAACCCCTTTGTAGGGCAAGCCCGAGCTGCATAAAATCACCCGTCGTAAACCAATTAAACCACGAGAAACGACGTCGTTAAACTGAAGGTCTTAATCTCACTTCAATATTGACTAAGTTTAATGCCGTTTAGTGTAGCTTCATCCGTTTGTTTACATCTTGGCAAGCTTCTCGTATATAAAACAACACAGTTATATTCTGGTGCACAAAGCATTACATTAAAGCTCTCAAATAAGCTTAATTATATCTCTAAATTGACTACAGGGAAGGAGGAGGAGGAGGAGCCAGAACTGTCAATAATTCTTATCTTCTCATTAATAACTTATTAACGTCTTTCTTGTTAGTAAGTATTATAATAAATCATTTTTTATAGATATATTGTAACAATGATCAGTGACCTCAAGAATCACCATCCTAACTCATTTAACCTTAAGAGTAATCTGACCTAACCAACTTGACCTGACCACCGTAGCTTATTTAACCTTATTAATCATCCTAATGCTGTTTCTGAGCTTAGGTTTGGTTAGATTAGGTTTGGTTGGGTTGTGGTTAGGTTAGTTTAATCTTTAAGTGAAATAAACTAGGGTGGTGATTCTTGAGGCGACCTAAAGCGACGATAATAATAACAATCTAACCTGTGGATTAATTTACCTTAGAGATTAATTTAACTTAGGTTTTGGGGGGCCTCAGGAACCCAATTTTCCTTAAGTGTCTGACGATGAAAGGCTCGCCAGAGGGTCGTGGCGATCTCACGGAGCTAATGACCTTGTGACGCGTGACGCTACCACGCAGGTCGCGGCTCCTGCGGCTTTCGAAGTTTATGTTCCGCGCTGTCAGCTAGCTTGGGTTCTTCAGTAGTCTGGACGATCGCCACGACAGTCGCTAATCGCTCCACCGGACGACCACCGTCCGGAGACATCTCCGACCCCAGAAGCAGCTCCTTCCTCCGTCACCATTCCCACGTTGATGCCCAGGGCCTTGATTATTCCCGTCATATCTACTCCGCTGTAAACAAAAACACACTAACGTAAACAAGCCTGAAGGAATAACACGAGTCGTTACCTTAGCCTCCACAACAAAGCCGATTAAATACTCATAATAATAAATATATAACAAATACTCTTTAAAAAATAATCCAATATTTTTTGTAGTTTGATGTATAATATTCAAGAGTGCTATGTAAACTTTCTACAACTTTCCTTCAAAGTTTTACTAATCAACTAGAAATATCAAATAAAAGTCTTAAAATTGTGATATAAACTCACAACTTCTTCAAACTTTTACTAATTAAACTTCAAGAAAGATCAAATAAAAGTCTTAAAAAGTATAATATAAACTTTCTACAATTTTTCCTTCAAACTTTTACTAATTAAACTTCAAGAAATATCAAATAAAAGTCTTAAAAGTATAATATAAACTTTCACAACTTTCCTTCAAACTTTTACTAAATAAAACTTCAAGAAAGATCAAATAAAAGTCTTAAAAGTATGATATAAACTTTCTACAACTTTCCCTTCAAACTTTTACTAAGCCTTTAAGCCAATATAGTATCTAGGTACAGCAACAATAAGTCCCATACTCCCATACACAACACCAAGTCTAATTATTGTACTGCAAACTCAAAATAAAGTCTTAATCAGCCCAGTAAATCAAGATGTGTGTTTCTTTATCCATTTAACACATTTAAAGTCTTATTAAAGCCTGAGGAATTGTGATTTTTGTCGAGGAATTTAATAGACAAAAGAATTTCCAATATTAATGAAGTATCTGAACGCTTATCACTACAGAATCTGGTACGTCATTTAGCATAGAGCGATCTATTGTACAGGAGCTCTACAGTGACGTTTTGTATATTAATGGATGCCTCTGTGGTGTAACTTATAGAATGGGTGGATAGAGGTATACAGGTGTGCCTCTACTTATGAACGTTCAACAAAGTGTACAGGTGTTCCTCTACTTAAGAACGTTCAAAAAGTAAGGTGTTCCTCTACTTAGAATGTTCAACAAAACAAAAACCCAACCACCAACAGTGTACAGGTGTTCTCTACTAAGAACGTTCAACAAAGTGTACACGTGTTCCTCTACTTATGAGCGTTCAAAAAGTGTACATGTGTCTTCACATGAACGTTCAACAAAGTGTACAGGTGTTCTTCTACTTATGAACGTTCAACTTACAAACTTTAAGAGATAAAGCATCATCACTGGAGGAGGGGGGGTTACCTGCCAGAACAGGTGTTTAATGTGGATGAGACTGATTATTTTGAAGATAATTCCAGATAGAACAAACATTACCTAGAAGAGTGAGCAGGTCTCAAGGCTGTATTAAAGAGGCATAGCTCTACTAAATATAAATAATCATTACATTTTTTACAATATCTTTGGCATCCACAAGAGTCAAATTGGATCATACAACGAGCCTCAGGAACGTGAATCGTCAAGCTTAGAGCACCTGTATACAGAAGCGATGGCAACATGCACACAGACACAGACAGATAGACAGACTACCCTCACCCAAAGCATGCACAGACACAGACAGATAGACAGACTACTCACCTAAAGCATGCACAGACACAGACAGAAGACAGACTACTCACCTAAAGCATGCACAGACACAGACAGATAGACAACTACCACAGACTAACATCACCAAGAGCATGCACAGACACAGACAGATAGACAGACTACTCACCTAAGCATGCACAGACACAGACAGACAGACAGACTACCTCACCTAGCATGACAGACACAGACAGATAACTCACCTAAAGCATGCACAGACACAGACAGATAGACAGACTACCCCACCTAAAGCATGCACAGACACAGACAGATAGAAGACTACCTCACCTAGCATGCACAGACACAGACAGAGAGACAGACTACCTCACCCAAAAGCATGCAAGGACACAGATGACAGACACCACCAAGAGCACATGCACACAGACAGATAGACAGACTACCTCACCTAGAGCATGCACAGACACAGACAGATAGACAGACTACCCCACCTAGAGCATGCACAGACACAGACAGATAGACAGACTACCCCACCAAGAGCATGACAGACACAGACAGATAACAGACTCCCCACCCAACATGCACAGACACAGAAGATAGACAGACTACCTCACCTAAAGCATCCAGACAAGACAGATAGACAGACTACTCACTAAAGCATGCACAACAGACAGATAAACCTCACCAAAGCATGCACAGACAGGAAATAGACAGACTAACTCACCTAAAGCATGCACAGACACAGACAGATAGACAGACTACCCACCAAAGCATGCACAGACACAGACAGATAGACAAACACTACCTCACCTAAAGCATGCACAGACACAGAACAGACACTACCAAGAGCATGCACAGACACAGACAGACAGACAGACTACCTCACCAAGAGATGCACACACAGACAGATAGACAGACTACCTCACTAAGCATGCACAGAACAGACAGACAGACAGACTACCTCACCAGAGCATGCACAGACACAGACAGACAGACAGACTACCTCACCAAGAGCATGCACACAGACACAGACAGATAGACAGACTACCTCACCTAAAGCATGCACAGACACAGACAGACAGACAGACTAACCTCACCAAGAGCATGCACAGACACAGACAGATAGACAGACTACCTCACCTAAAGCATGCACAGACACAGACAGATAGACAGACTTCACCTCACCTAAAAGCATGCACAGACACAGACAGACAGACAGACTACCTCACCTAAAGCATGCACAGACACAGACAGATAGACAGACTACCTCACCTAAAGCATGCACAGACACAGACAGATGACAGACTACCTCACCTAAAGCATGCACAGACACAGACAGATAGACAGACTACCTCACTAAAGCATGCACAGACACAGACAGATAGACAGACTACCTCACCAGAGCATGCACACAGAGACAGACAGATAGACAGACTACCTCACCAAGAGCATGCACACAGAGACAGACAGATAGACAGACTACCTCACCAAGAGCATGCACACAGAGACAGACAGATAGACAGACTACCTCACCAAGAGCATGCACAGAAGACAAACACCACACAGACAGACAGATAGACAGACTACCTCACCAAAAGCATGCACAGACACAGACAGATAGACAGACTACCTCACCTAAAGCATGCACAGACACAGACAGACAGACAGACTACCTCACCTAGACACCAATAAGTAGAAGACACCCAGAGAGGTCAGAGATATGGCTACGTGAAAGATGACGACCGTAGCCCCGTACTCCTTCACCGCCCGGCGTAGCTTCTGCCTCGACGTCAGTCGGGCCTCCGCGCTCTCTCCGGCCCGGGCGCTGACGACGGAACACCGGTGGAACGACCTCCCGTGACTGAACGACCGTCGGGCACACACACTCGGCCGACATGCTGCGGCGTTGTTAGGCAAGGGCGGCGACACTGTTAAAGCGGATTAATACCCGCGGGGCGTCGACGCCGTCTAGTCTAGCCCGCCCACGAGCGGATGTCACCCGACTAAATCCGCCACCGCTAAGGACATCCGCTACCCTCGGCCGCGGCGTTCGAGGGCCACATCCCGACTAGGGGGGGAGGTAAGGGAGCGTTGGAGATACCTGGTTTCTTCCCGGAGGAGACGGTCATGGGGTGGTGGTCGTGGAGGTCGGCGGAGATGTACTTGTCGTCCTGCGCCCACTGGCCTCCGGGCATGTTGAGGTGCACTGGAGCCTGCGGAGATCTCGTAAGGTTTGGGCACATTAGTCTGCATCACCTGTGGTAATTATGATACATTAATAACAGGTAATTATAACCCTTTAATGATGATGGTGGTTTAACCCTTTGATGATGATCGTTTAACCCTTTGAGGACAAATTCTGACCCTGACAATGGTTTAACCCTTTGAGGACAAATTCTGACCCTTTGATGATGGTTTAACCCTTTGACACTGGTTTAACCCTTTGATGATGGTTTAACCCTTTGAGGACAAATTCTGACCCTTGACTGGACCTTTGACACTGGTTTAACCCTTTGAGGACAAATTCTGACCCTTTGATGATGGTTTAACCCTTTGATGATGATCGTTTAACCTTTCAGAACTCAAATAAATCTATCAGGCTTAAGCTTTCTATAACTTATCTAATCAAAGCTTAAATGTTACTATATTTGTCTAATTCAAGCTCAAATTTTACTCTAGTTATCTCATTCAAGCTTAAATTTGACTATATTTGTCTCATTCAAGCTTAAATTTAATATATTTGTCTAATTCAAGCTGAAAATTACTGTATTTGTCTCAATCAAGCTTAAATTTTAGTATTTTTGTCTCATTCAAGCTTACACCCCAGCACTATCTATGTGATGCAAGTAGCAGTGAGAGACGTACAGTGATGCGAGAATCATTAACTCACCGAGGAGAGAGAGAGAGTGATGCAAGAATCATTAACTCACCGAGGAGAGAGAGACAGTGATGCGAAAATCATTAACTCACCGAGGAGAGAGAGACAGTGATGCGAGAATCATAAACATCAATGTGGGAATCGATCGGCTGAGTCCCACTGTTAAAGGTTCCGCCCTGTGTCCCTTGACCTGACATGAACCCTGACCCAAAGAGGGATCCCACTTGGGTCAGCTTTGAGGAGACGTCCCTGGTTCGTCGAGGAGAGAAGCGAGCCTGAAAGTAACGATGGTTTAGTACGAAGGGGATGATTGTTATGTCCGTGTGAGTTTAGTGTTTATTGAGATTATTTGACCTGACCTGACCTGACCTAACTTGTCCTAACTACTAATGAACTATATAGAGATGAAAGTCCATTATATCAAGGGCCCAATATATGTAAAACCTCCATCTAATGAACTATATAGAGATGAAAGTCCATTATATCAAGGGTCCATTATATGTAAAACCTCCATCTAATGAACTATATAGAGATGAAAGTCCATTATATCAAGGGCCCATTATATGTAAAACCTCCATCTAATGAACTATATAGAGATGAAAGTTCATTATATCAAGGGTCCATTATATGTAAAACCTCCATCTAATGAACTATATAGAGATGAAAGTCCATTATATCAAGGGCCCATTATATGTAAAACCTCCATTTAATGAACTATATAGAGATGAAAGTCCATTATATCAAGGGCCCATTATATGTAAAACCTCCATCTAATGAACTATATAGAGATGAAAGTCCATTATATCAAGGGCCCATTATATGTAAAACCTCCATTTAATGAACTATATAGAGATGAAAGTCCATTATATCAAGGGTCCATTATATGTAAAACCTCCATCTAATGAACTATATAGAGATGAAAGTCCATTATATCAAGGGTCCATTAGGCAAAAACTCCATCTAATGAACTATATAGATGAAAAGTCCATTATATCAAGGGCCCATTATATGTGTAAAACTCCATCTAATGAACTATATAGACAAAAGTCCATTATATCAAGGGCCCATTATATGTAAACCTCCATCTAATGAACTATATAGAGATGAGTTCCATTATATCAAGGCCCATTATATGTAAACCTCCATCTAATGAACTATATAGAGATGAAAGTTCTATTATATCATGGGTCCATTATATATGGAAACTCCATCTAATGAACTATATAGAGATGAAAGTCCATTGGTATCAAGGGGTCTATTAGGCAAAAACTTCCATCTAATGAATCCAAGTAGAGATGAAAGTCCATTATATCAAGTGGCCCAGGCTTATATAAAAAATTCCTATCTAATGAACTATAGAGATGAAGTCCAGAGATGAAAGTCCATTATATCAAGGGTCCATTATATGTAAAACCTCCATCTAATGAACTATATAGAGATGAAAGTCCATTATATCAAGGGCCCATTATATGTAAAACCTCCATCTAATGAACTATATAGAGATGAAAGTCCATTATATCAAGGGTCCATTATATGTAAAACCTCCATCTAACGAGCCAATTAGACATGAAAAAACCCGATTAACGAGCCAATTATCTACCTTATGTGATGCACTCAGCTCCTCAACATTGGCCGGCATCGAAATAAAAGCAGCTGCAGTTGTCGTTGTGCCGCTGACTTGGTGATGCAGCTTCTTCTGTTGTTGCTGTTGTTGTTGTTCTGTCGAGATAAATACCATCAATACAATTTGTGTTTATAGGGGGGGGGGTTAGTGGTGGTATGTATGTATGAATACTTGTACTGTATGTATGTATGAATCTATGTATGCTTGTGCGATCATTCTATTGGATATCTATGTATGTATTTGTCAATCTCTGTCTCTCTCTCTGTCTGTCTGTCTGTCTCACTATGCAAGGGTACAACTCTGTCAGTAAACAACCTGGAGATCTGCCAAGGTGATCTGAGAGGCAGCAGGTGGCAGATACCAATGCAGACCCTTCACTTGGCAGTGTTCCTCGGTCATGACTAACTGGCTGACTAAGTGACTGACTGACTGACTGACTGATGTTGTGTTTCTATTTGAGGGGGTTATATTGGTCCATGTGAACACTGGAGGTGACTAACCTAACCTAACCTAACTTAACCTAAACCCTCGATTCTTTCCACCCCAATACTGCAAACCTAAATATGCAACACAACACCTCCCTCCCCCCATGACTCTTCCTGACCCAATCACCTCAATATTGCAAACTTAAAAATGCAACACAACACCCCCCTCCCCCCCCCCACGACCCCATCACCCCAATATTGCAAACCCAGATAATGCAACAGTATATTTTATCATCGTCTAAGTAATAAAAAAATTCGCCATTTATCGTTTTTTTTTAGTAAAGTCGAAATTTTCTTTACAAAAACGTCTTCAAAAATTCACGTCTATTACATTAAATAAAGAAATGGTGGTTATTATTTGTATTTAATTACTGTTTATATCTACTTATTTGATTATGTATCTATATCTATTAACAGTATCTATATTTCGTGTATCTTTAAGGGAGGTTCATTGGATACAGATAAATTGAGGGTAATTAGGGTAAGAAGTCAAAATGCTAAAAAGGTAAAGGGTAAATTGAAAATTGAGGTAGGAGTAGGAGTGAGGTAAGGGGGTGAATTAGGAGTGGGTGAGGTGGGGTAAAGGTGAGGTGGGGTAGGAGATAGGAGGGAGAGAGTTCAGGAAGGAGAGAGAGAGAGAGAGAGAGACAGCAGGGTGTCAGCATGTGTCAGCATGTGTCAGCAGGGTGTCAGCATGTGTCAGCAGGGTGTCAGCATGTGTCACCTCAACGTGTCACCTGATTAGACACCATAATCATCAGGTAAAATAAACCAGGGTCTCTAATCATCACCCAATCACGACATTACACGCAATTAAACCAACCAATCGTAAATCCACAAACGCTACCCCGCCCCTTAAAGAAAAAACACCACCAAAAAACATCGGAATTTCTACACCACTACGGGAAGAAAAAGTCAACGATTTAACTCCCTCGAACGATTTAAAAATACATCCCACGAGTTCCCAGCACCTGCAGTACAGACGAGCGTAGGGGGCAATAAACACCTTACCCCCCCAGAGTAGTGAGTAAGCTTAGGGGGGGGGGGGTTATAATTGGTCCTCGTTGCTACCCTCACCTCTTGTCCTCACTTGGCAGTGGTACAAGACACAACATGTGGTCTCACCTCGTGCCAAGTGGACCATAGAGTGAGTGGCCTGTTGGGGTCGACTGCTACACATTTTAACAATGGGATTTATTTTATTTGATGATGTAGTTAATAAATCAGGTTAATTTAGTTGATGTATTAATAAATCAGGTTAATTTATTTGATGTATTAATAAATCAGGTTAATTTATTTGATGTATTAGAACATAAGGAGTCTGCAATAGGGCAGTTGGCCTGTTCATGGCAGCTCCTGTCGAGAGTTACTACCACTCTCTATCATCCATGAATCTATCTAGCCTCCTTTTAAAACTTTCCAGCGTTCCAGCACTTACTTCAAAGTTGCTAAGCTTGTTCCACTCGTCCACCACCCTATCTAGCCTCCTTTTAAAACTTTCCAGCGTTCCAGCACTTACTACAAAGTTGCTAAGCTTGTTCCACTCGTCCACCACCCTATATCTAGCCTCCTTTAAAACTTTCCAGCGTTCAGCATTTACTACAAAGTTGCTAAAGCTTGTCCCCACTCGTCCACTACCCTATCTAGCCTCCTTTTAAAACTTTCGGCGTTTCACCTTTATTTACTACAAAGTTGCCATTGTTCCCATCCACCCTATTTGTAGACAGTTTCATATATCTCCATCCAAACTTATCCAGCAAATCCGTTTACTCTGAGTCCTATCCTTATAAAATTTATCTAAGCAGCACATTGATTCCTTTCACCCTTAAATGCTTCTCTCATCTCCCCGCACTCTTCCGTCTCTTTTCTAGAAATACAAGTTTAATTTCTTTAAACTATCTTGATATGGAAGGTTTCTAAGTCCCGGAATCATTTTCATCATTTTTCGCTGCACCGACTCCAGTGAATTGATATCCATTCTATAATAAGGGCACCAGAACTGAACCGCATAATCGAGGTGCGGCCTGACTAGCGCAAGATGTAGTTGCAATAAGACCTCTGCACTCTTATTACTTACACTTCTAGATATAAAACCCAATACTCTGTTTGCCTTATTTCGAACATTAACGCACTGTTTTCTAGGCCGTAGGTCCGGGCTTACAAGTACCCCTAAGTCTCTTTCACAAGTCAGCTTCTCTAGGTTGTAGTCTTGTTAAGGCTGTATACATTGACCAGTATTTGTTCTTCCAATATTAAGTACGCTGCCTTGCTTTGGTGTTGAATTTCATTGCCATTTTTCAGACCACTCCTGCAGTTTATTTAAATCTTCCTGTAGTGCATTTGCATCCTGCCCTGAATTAATCTGCCACCCTATTTTGGTGTCATCCGCAAACTTGCTTATGTCACTGCTGATCCCAGTATCTAGATCGTTTATGTAGATTATGAACAAGAGTGGGCCCTGACCCCTGGGAACCCCACTGGTTACACGGCCCCACTCAGATTTAACACCATCTACGCTGACCCTCTGCGTTCTATCGGTGAGCCATGATTTTATCCAATTTAAAACTTTCCCCTCAATACCGTGAGCCTTAATTTTTCTCAGAAGCCTCTGATGCGGTACTCTGTCAAATGCTTTGCTAAAGTCTAAGTAAATAACATGGTAATTATCGTCATTATCTACTACCTCGAAGACTTTCCTAAAAAACGTCAGCAGATTTGTTAGACAAGATTTTCCCTTTGTAAACCCATGTTGAGAGTCGTAGATTAATTTGCTTTCCTCTAGATGCGATCGGATGCTATCTGCTATAATTCATTCAAGAAATTTCCCCACTACTGAGGGTAATGGAACAACAAAACCTTCAGTAAAAACACTACATCCTATAAACCGAGGCTCGCCGTGCCTGAAACACGAGTGCCGAAGGCAAATTGTTTACCATTTATTATTACGACACTTTACACTGAAACGCGTGTAGTTTCAACAAAAATATTGTATATTTCCATTCAAATATTTATTCAAGTCAATTAGGAGGGAATATTATTGTAATACAGTTTCTTAACTAAACCATTTAAAAAGTGATTACGTTAACATCTTTTGAACGAAACAAAGCGAAAGTCATTGTTTTCGTCACAATTTTATCCCACTTTCCACTGTAATACGTACGTCATTTCAGCAAAAATATTACATTTCCGTGAATGTATTATATCAAGCACAGTATGAATAGAATACCATTATAATATAACAATATTTTGAGTCCTACTCTTTCCATGTACAGAGTACTGTACAAGCCCATAATAATGGCTCCTAAAGTAGATAAACTTGGTTGTGTCAAGAGAAAGAAGAACACGTTGAAACTGAGTGACAAACTTGAAATAATTAAGACACTAGAACGTGGTGTGAGCAACACTGATCTAATGGAAACATATGACATTGGAAAGACTATAATTTATGATTTAAAAAAGGCAAAGAATAAAAGTCTAGAATTCACAGCTTTATCATTAAAACTGCTCCTTTTGATAAATGAACCATGCTATATTACTAGTGAATAAACTATCAAAATATACCTGTTTCTTCCCTTTAATACATTACATCTTCCTTACTTTATTCCTATGGTAAAAAAACACTATTAATACTACTCACCAAGGGTATGTTTATATCTTACAGTGCCATTAACAGCTACACACACGGCTCTACCTCCCTTAACTGTCTTCATTACCACCGTAGACATCGTTAACGTTCACTTAATTCACGGTAATTGGGTGATTATGAAGGTAATTTGATGAGGAAGGGAAGAGACACGTCCTCTCTCGTCGGTGGTCGGGTTTGTTGTGACTCGGTTAAAGGGACTACGGCCTCTTCCTGCTAAGATGGTTCATGTTACAGACCTTACCACGAACATCATCACGTGCCTATTTGTTGATTTTTAATAATTTTAGCTATTTAGGTTATAATTATATCGTCTTAACCTATATAATATTACTAAAATAATTAATATATTACTATTATATACTTAAACTACTGATAAATAATAAATTAATCATTATTATATATATTTCACTTAAACCAAATCTATCTTTCTAAAGAGGAAATAGACCTAATAAATGTTTCTTAATATATCAAAAACTATCTCATTATAATTAAATTGGGTTATATTAGGTTATATTTTGTGTAATTTACTTTAACAATCAAATATTTTGTAGTAAAGTTCGTTGTAGGACATTTAACATTAATTATCCCGTTAGCAGTAAATTATAAATAAATAATCACGTTTAAAATGACCTCTATCTCCTTATATCAAAAGGACTATAATCTTATATCACTAATTAAGTCATTATATTCACCTCTATAAACCTAAAATTATCAATAATATCAAGTTAATTATTGTCTACCACCTGTGTCTAGCGAGAGAGCGTCAGCCAGGCTCTGATTGGCTAGTAATTGTGACATCTTATATCCAATCACAGTTCAGAGAGAGAGAGAGAGAGAGAGAGAGAGAGAGAGAGAGAGAGAGAGTGAGTGAGTGAGTGAGTGAGTGAGTGGGAAAGGAGTGGGGAGCAGAGAGAGAGAGAGAGAGAGAGAGAGAGAGAGAGAGAGAGAGAGAGAGAGGAGGAGGAGAGAGAGAGACAGAGGAGAGAGAGAGAGAGAGAGAGAGAGAGAGAGAGAGGGAGAGGAGGAGGAGGAAAGGAGAGAGAGGAGACATGAGTGAGTGAGTGAGTGAGTGAGAGGAGAGAGAGAGAGAGGTAGAGAGAGGTAGGGTAGAGAGAGAGAGAGCCATCACATTTGTCCCAAGGCCACACACTTAATAATAGCCCCCTTTACCTTATCAGGTTATTCCGGAGCACTTAACCCACATCAACACAATCATAGAGAACTCCACCGTGTCTCTCTCTGTTAATTAATTATATAGATCCATCCATCTCTATCTCTATCTCTCTATCCCTCTCTCTATCTCTCTATCCATCTCTCTATCTCTCTATCCGTCTCTCTATCTCTCTATCCGTCTCTCTATCTCTCTATCCGTCTCTCTCTCTCTCTATCTCTCTATCCGTCTCTCTATCTCTCTATCCGTCTCTCTATCTCTCTATCCGTCTCTCTCTCTCTCTATCCGCCTCTCTATCTCTCTATCCACCTCTCTATCTATCCACTACCAGACCATAAGATCAACTCTGTAACAGTGTAATAAGCGACCATTTAGCCCTTCGCCAGTCACTTTGTTCGCTGGCCTGTATCCACGTGTTCGCTGGCCTGTATCCACGTGTTCGCTGGCCTGTATCCACGTGTTTGCTGGCCTGTATCCACGTGTTTGCTGGCCTGTATCCACGTGTTTGCTGGCCTGTATCCACGTGTTTGCTGGCCTGTATCCACGTGTTTGCTGGCCTGTATCCACGTGTTTGCTGGCCTGTATCCACGTGGGTTTGCTGGCCCGTATCCACGTGTTTGCTGGCCTGCATCCACGTAGCTCCTGCATCCACGTGCTTGGACCTGTATCCACGTGTTTGCTGGCCTGTATCCACGTGTTTGCTGGCCTGTATCCACGTGTTCGCTGGCCTGTATCCACGTGTTTGCTGGCCTGTATCAACGTGGTTAGGTTAGGTTAAAGACAACCATGGCAACACTGAACTAACAACAGGTGGTAGCTGTATCAGGGTTGTACTATAGAGATTCTTGGCTCAGTGACCAAAGGTTAATGACTTATACCTCAGGTTCACTACACTCTCTAGGGTAGGTTAGGTGGGTGGCAACTATAGTGGGTGGCAGACGTGGGTACAGGTGGGTGGCAGACGTGGGTACAGGTGGGTGGCAACTATAGTGGGTGTCAGACGTGGGAACAGGTGGGTGGGTAGGTGGGAACAGGTGGTGGCAACTATAGTGGTGGCTGACGTGGGAACAGGTGGGTGGCAGACGTGGGTACAGGTGGTGGCAACTATAGTGTTACAATAGTGGTGGTGGTGACGGGAACAGGTGGTGGCAGACGTGGGGTACAGGTGGTGGCAACTATAGTGCTACAATAGGGTGGCAGACGTGGGTGGCATGTGAGGTGAGCGTAGACACGAGTCAGGAAGTACATGGGTGGCACTATCAGATGGGTGGCACGTGTAAGGGGCGGCGGAGACACGTGCCAAGAAGCAGGTGGGTGGCTGGTTCATATAGAGGGCGGCGTAGGAGTCAGGAGGTGGATAGTTGGGTAGTTGACACATGTAGGTGGATAGGCTGCATAGGTAAGAGTCAGGAAGTGGATAGATGGATGGCTGACACAAATGGGTGGGTGTGGATGGGTATGGATGGGTGTGGGTGGGTATGGATGGGTGTGGGTGGGTGGTGGGTGGGTATGTGTGGGTGGGGTCGTGAAATCAGCTGACCAGACTTCCGTGTTTACAAGTGGATTCTCAACTGCTATTTTAAGCTCCTGACAAAGAAAACTGCAATTATTACCCTTATGTACCTGTTGGCACGGGCGTTGAGGTGTTGGCACGGGCGTAAGAGGTGTTGGCACGGCCGTTGAGGTGTTGGCACGGGCGTAAGAGGTGTTGGCACGGGCGTTGAGGTGTTGGCAAGGGCGTAGGGGCGTGACATGGAGTTGACACGTGTGAATATCCGGGTAACACCAATGCTGGGACCTAAGAAAAACATTTACTTAGATTAGATTAGTTTAGAGAGATAGTTAAGTTAGATTAAATTATATTATACTAACTTATATTAAAATCATGTTTAATCATCAATTTAAATAAACTAGGGTGTCTAATCTTCATGTAAAGAGAAAAATACCACAAGGGATAACGGGCCAAGTTCCCTCCCTCATCCTAACTTAAAGTGACCAACACAATAGAGGGGGCGTCACTCATAACAACACACCATGTTAAGTAATTACCACGACCGCACCCTCTCTAAAACTAATTAATTTCCCCATTAATAAAAAACAAATTAATTTCCTATAATATATAAGAAAATTAAATTATATTAGTATTTAATTATTAATAAGATGAGATTAATTATGGATGATCATATAGAGAATTAATTAAGTATTTAGATATAAAGTCCGTGGTATTATTAACTAACATCCACCATCTTGTTTTCCTCCTCAGCTGACGGGAGAAAAAATAACTTATTTATTGTATTTTCTTCACCTACTGTCAGCCTTGAGTGTCAGCCTTGAGTGTCAGCCTCGAGTGTCAGTCTTGAGTGTCAGCCTTGAGTGTCAGTCATGTCTCTCTCCGTGGATATACAGTTAAAGAGATCAAGTAAAATATACCATGAAGGGGTGAGTTGATGTTGTCTCGTATGATAGATGGATAGATGGATAGATATAGAGGTTGATAGATGGATAGGCTAATAGATGGAAGGATAGATAGGTTGATGAATAGACAGACAGATAGATAGATACAGATAGATATAGATAAAATCATCCTATCCTAATCTAGCCTAGCCTATCCTAACCTAACCTAGCCTATCCTAACCTAATCTAGCCTATCCTAACCTAATCTAGCCTAGCCTATCCTAACCTAGCCTAGCCTATCCTAACCTAATCTAGCCTAGCCTAACTTAATCTAGCCTAGCCTAGCCTATCCTATCCTAACCTAACCTAATCTAATCTAGCCTATCCTAACCTAATCTAGCCTATCCTAACCTATCCTCATGCCCCCAGAGTTACCCTAAAGTGCTTCCTTCTCGCGACTCACACGTCTAAAGTGTTACCCGGACGATCGTACATATTTGTTTATTTACAGGAAAAGGTCGCCGGGGTGTTGGTGCTCGACAGTCGCTCCGAGGCGCGGCACGACGGCATAACTCTGACGATGGATGGGATAGTTAGCGTCCAGTTGTCCCCCAGGAGTGCCGGCCTTATCGAATCGATCGTTAATTCGTCTAAGGTCAGGACGAATGATATTTTTTGTAGCTATGGGGTCAGGAATGTCTCTCTCTATGTTGTTCGTTATACGGGGGTTTTACATCTAACGGGCCCTCAATATAATGGACTTTCCGTTCCATAGAGGTTTTATTTTGGTAAAGTTTATCGATTAATTAATACAATACTACAAAGATTTATAGATTATTACAGTAGAATACATACCTGTATTTTATATCCAATATTGTATTATAAAGATTCATGTTTCTAAATTTACTAGGAATTAAATTTAGAAGATTCTGAATTACCCAACAAATCTAATTCTATAGCCCCATTACATCATCAACCAATCACAGAAGGTCGTTGAATTAGAAGATTCTGAATAACCCCAAAAATCTAATTCTACATTACAGCTCATTTCCATCATCAACCAATCACAGAAGGTCGTTGAATTAGAAGATTCTGAATAACCCCAAAAATCTAATTCTACATTACAGCCCATTTCCATCATCAACCAATCAGTGGAGGTCGTTAAGTCAGGAAAAATACCAACAGGCCAGACTGAAATACCCTTCGAAATTCCCCTCGTTCCCCGCTCGTCGTCCAAGGTCCTGTACGAGACTTACCATGGGGTGTACGTCACGGTCCAGTACTCTCTGAGGTGCGACATTAAGCGGAGTCTTCTAGCAAAAGACATCACCAAATTACAGGAATTTATCGTGGAATACAAAGTGAGTATTGTATTCTCTGGACTATATTTTTTGTATTGTACTGTATTAAATTGTATAAAGTTATTTAATTGCTTCACTGTTTACAACTGTTTGTATACCTACACTGTCTAGGTACACTATATACCTACACTGTCTAGGTACACTATATACCTACACTGTCTAGGTACACTATATACCTACACTGTCTAGGTACACTATATACCTACACTGTCTAGGTACACTATATACCTACACTGTCTAGGTACACTATATACCTACACTGTCTAGGTACACTATATACCTACACTGTCTAGGTACACTATATACCTACACTGTCTAGGTACACTATATACCTACACTGTCTAGGTACACTATATACCTACACTGTCTAGGTACACTATATACCTACACTGTCTAGGTACACTGTCTAGGTTACAAGCTAAATCAGTGTAAACTTGTATGGTGATTTTACTGAATAAATCTCTCATCAATCTGTCCACATATGTTTTGCAATCAATCTATCTATATGTCTATGTGTATCAAACCTAACCTAACCTATCTACATAACTATCAAGCAATCAATCACATCTCTGCACTCAGCCCAGGAACCCTGAAGAGACAATACCCGTCAGGTTTGAGATCCGCCCAGACACCCTACAGAACGTCCGCGACCGGGCACGCATCCCGCATTTCCTGGTCACGGGTCATCTAGACACGGCCGTTTACTCCCTCTCGCAGCCACTGACAGGAGAGGTGGGTATCATACAGTAGATGGAGGTTTTACATATAATGGACCCTTGATATAATGGACTTTCATCTCTATATAGTTCATTAGATGGAGGTTTTACATATAATGGACCCTTCATGTAATGGACTTTCATCTCTATATAGTTCATTAGATGGAGGTTTTACATATAATGGACTTTCATCTCTATATAGTTCATTAGATGGAGGTTTTACATATAATGGGCCCTTGATATAATGGACTTTCATCTCTATATAGTTCATTAGATGGAGGTTTTACATATAATGGGCCCTTGATGTAATGGACTTTCATCTCTATATAGTTCATTAGATGGAGGTTTTACATATAATGGACCCTTGATGTAATGGACTTTCATCTCTATATAGTTCATTAGATGGAGGTTTTACATATAATGGGCCCTTGATATAATGGACTTTCATCTCTATATAGTTCATTAGATGGAGGTTTTACATATAATGGACCCTTGATATAATGGACTTTCATCTCTATATAGTTCATTAGATGGAGGTTTTACATATAATGGGCCCTTGATATAATGGACTTTCATCTCTATATAGTTCATTAGATGGAGGTTTTACATATAATGGACCCTTGATATAATGGACTTTCATCTCTATATAGTTCATTAGATGGAGGTTTTACATATAATGGGCCCTTGATATAATGGACTTTCATCTCTATATAGTTCATTAGATGGAGGTTTTACATATAATGGACCCTTGATATAATGGACTTTCATCTCTATATAGTTCATTAGATGGAGGTTTTACATATAATGGACCCTTGATATAATGGACTTTCATCTCTATATAGTTCATTAGATGGAGGTTTTATATATAATGGGACCCTTGATATAATGGACTTTCATCTCTATATAGTTCATTAGATGGAGGTTTTACATATAATGGACCCTTGATATAATGGACTTTCATCATCTCTTTCATCTCTATATAGTTCATTAGATGGAGGTTTTACATATAATGGGCCCTTGATATAATGGACTTTCATCTCTATATAGTTCATTAGATGGAGGTTTTACATATAATGGACCCTTGATGTAATGGACTTTCATCTCTATATAGTTCATTAGATGGAGGTTTTACATATAATGGACCCTTGATATAATGGACTTTCATCTCTATATAGTTCATTAGATGGAGGTTTTACATATAATGGACCCTTGATATAATGGACTTTCATCTCTATATAGTTCATTAGATGGAGGTTTTACATATAATGGACCCTTGATATAATGGACTTTCATCTCTATATAGTTCATTAGATGGAGGTTTTACATATAATGGACCCTTGATATAATGGACTTTCATCTCTATATAGTTCATTAGATGGAGGTTTTACATATAATGGACCCTTGATATAATGGACTTTCATCTCTATATAGTTCATTAGATGGAGGTTTTACATATAATGGACCCTTGATATAATGGACTTTCATCTCTATATAGTTCATTACAAGGAGGTTTCACATCTAACCTAACCTGACCCCACACGGAGAATGTCGATAAATAATAATGTTAATAATAATAATAAAAAAAAGATCTTCTGACGACCACAAACTAACTATCGCTCGACTTACAGCTAACGGTGTGCGAGTGCGAACGAGGTATAAGCAGCATCGAACTCCAACTGGTCCGTGTCGAGACGTGTGGCTCGACCGAGGGCTACACCAGGGAGGGTAAGTTTGTCCGTTGATTCGTGTTTATTGACGTGATACACGGATGAAATATTAACCCAGAGAGAATAGGTGTTATAACTATCCATTAATCTATCTGTCTATTCTATATACATATCTACAGTATCTATTTATCTGCCTATCCATCCATCTCAGAACCTCTATCTACCTATCCATCCACTTCTCGACCTCCATCCATAAACCTCTCGACCTGTATCTATCCATCTCAGTACCTCTATCCATCTGTCCATCCACCTCTCGACCTCTATCCATCCACCTCTCGACCTCTATCCATCCACCTCTCGACCTCTATCCATCCATCTCAGAGCCTCTATCCATCCATCTCAGAGCCTCTATCCATCCACCTCAGAGCCTCTATCCACCTAACACTATCCTACTTTCCAGCCTCAGAGATCCAGAACATTCAGATCGCAGAAGGAGATGTGTGCAGGGGAGTGGCCATACCTCTGTACATGGTGTTTCCTCGCCTGTTTACCTGTAGCACCACTGAAGCACCCAGTTTTAAGATTGGTGAGTGTTGGGGGGTGTGTTAGGGTGTGTTGGGGTGTGTTGGCGAGTGTTTCAGCGTTGATAAGTGTTTCAGCTTGCGTTAATAACCATCGATAAACACTAGTAAATGTTTCAATCACCTTCCATAACTAGCAACAAAAAACTAACAATTCGTATTCCGTTCCCCCACAGAATTTGAGCTGAACGTCGTTATCATCTTCGACAATGATCATCTGGTAGTTGAGACGTTTCCCATCAAGCTCGTTCGCAGTTAGAAATCTACCATTGTATGCAGTTGCAAGTCCCACCATATGCAGTTGCAAGTTCCATGTGATTAGCCTTTAACTGGCAACTAAATGATAAAGATTCATTACTAATTTACACTTATATACAATGTACTACTTATACTTTACAATGTTGTTAGTGAAATATAAAGTAATGTTCAAATAATAATGATAATAATAATGAAGTTTACCTGTGTAGTTTATATACCTGTAAGATTATTATTACTACTACTACTATTATTAACTGGGACCATAATTAAATACTTTACATAAAATAATTGACTAAACACAATTATCTATCAATAATTATAAGAAGCCTTGATTATATAGCGATAATCTGTGATATAATTCAAAGTCTAATTATAGATATTTTTTCTGATGATTTAAATGTTTTTGTATAATCTTCTGAGTTATATTGGATTTGTTTGTTTATAATTGAATTGATAATGAAAATAATATGGGTTTTTTTAGCCATTGTGTGTGTGTGTGTCTGTGTGTGTGTGTGTGTGTGTGTCTGTGTGTGTGTGTGTACGATTGTTGTCACCACAATCTTCAACCTGCATCCCTCACCACCACTATCCCTCACCACCACCATCCCTCACCACCACCATCCCTCACTACCACTATCTCTAACTACCACCATTATCTCTCATCTCTCTCAAAGGACAACGACAAAAAATATATAAAGTAAAATTTATTGACAAATCACAAATAAAAATCTTTCATCCCCCTAAAAAATACAGTGATGATGTATTACTGTACCTAGACATAAAATTAGTACTGTATTGTAAACGAACTACAGAAATTACACGATACATTATGGTACTATGAATTATAATGCTGAAATCCCACTAAGGTACAAAATAGATCTGAAATCCTTTTATAAATTACAAAATACAGATCTGAAATGCCTGTGTATGTTTTTAGCCATATATTACAGTCCCTTGAGCAGTTATATTACAGTACTGTAGTATCTTTGTATTTTACTTTCCCTTACAGTAAGATTTCAGGATTACAGTGGGATTATATTAAGCTAAACTAATAAGAGGAACTTATTTGAGTGATAGATCTGTATGGAGTTAAAATGTTCCTTATTTAACTGAAGATTACACACACCTGATGATTGAACACCCTAATGGTTGATGGATTAAGTTAGGGTAGATTAGGTTAAGTTAGATTAAGTTTGGGTAGGTTAGGTTACCACTGGGGTGACTAATCTAAAGATGTTTCCATTCATTAATTAAAACAAATAATTTCCACTTCATAAAAAACATTAAAAATTGAAAAAAAAAAAAAATCTTTGTAAAATAATAAATAAGCACTGACCAGTTTACAAAAATCTCTTAAAATAAAAGATGTAATCATATAGAAGAATTTCAAGACAGTACTATGAAGTATTATGGCTACTGGTAATACTAACTAAAGCTAATTTTGTCATTTAACCTTTAATTGATGGTTAAAGGTTCTTATACAACTCTCGTGGGTGTAAATTGATGGATGGCCACCGTCCCTACAGCTAACTTCCACTGATGATGACCACCGTCCCTACAGCTAACTTCCACTGATGATGACCACCGTCCCTACAGCTAACTTCCACTGTTGATGGCCACCGTCCCTACAGCTAACTTCCACTGATGATGACCACCGTCCCTACAGCTAACTTCCACTGATGATGACCACCGTCCCTACAGCTAACTTCCACTGTTGATGGCCACCGTCCCTACAGCTAACTACCACTGTTGATGGCCACCGTCCCTACAGCTAACTTCCACTGTTGATGGCCACCGTCCCTACAGCTAACTTCCACTGATGATGGCCACCGTCCCTACAGCTAACTTCCACTGTTGATGGCCGCCATTTAAACGCTAAAAATAATCAACATACCTACAGAAAGCTCCGCCCACTGCTGACTTAACGGCCAATGAGATCTCACATACACGCGGCCTCTGTCCCCAGTTCACGGCCTTAAGCAGTCATCGTTGCTTAGGGTTCACTACTGGGGAGGTACAAGTGGGCGGAGCTTAGTCGGTAAACAATAAAAATCAAGAATTACAAAGATATACAATTATGGTACAGTTTACAGCTATGGTACAGGTACAGGTTACAGCTATGGTACAGGTACAGGTTACAGGAACTACAGCTACAGTGACTATGGACCTTTGGTATTTACAGCCGACGTTGTAATTCTTGATCTAGTTGACGTTTGTGTCCGAGCGAGACGAATCGTTTACCAGCGACGGAACCTTTGTGGCGTCTGAGGTCGAGTCTTTTTTGTGTTTGATCTGTAAGACCTTCTTCCTCTCGGTGTGTTTGTGTGGGGACGAGCCTAATGGCGTGGCTACCTCTTTAACGACTTTGTCCGGCGTTCTCGTGAATTTTAGTTTCCTCTGGTGGCCGAGGGACGTAAGCCAGTCGGTGTTGCGTTTCTTTTCGACTCTGGTCTCTGGTCGGCTGTGTGGGGAACGCCCGTCTACGATAAAGTTGGGTAGGTTTGCCGTCGGGGACGAGAGACGTCCGAATTTAAATGGCTCGGGAGGGGAAACGGTCTGTTTACTAACGAGGGGATCCGGCAATTTAACGACCGCATCATTTTTCGCGTCGCCGCCGACCGCGTTCTTCTCCGCAAGTCTGGAGGAAACGTTCGTCACCGGGGTCCTGAAGCCGTTCCCGAGTACCACCTTGTCTCGGGCCTCGATGGGCTCCACGCTGTCTGTCACTTCTCCGTCGTTCTCCTTCTCCCGACGGCCCGGAGACGCGTCCGAGTCGTCGCCGTACTTGAGCATCTTGGCGGCACTCGGCGGCGGGGAGAGCCGGTTGGTCGAGTCGGCCGCGGAACAAAGGACATTTTTCTTACCGTAGTTCGGAGACTTGGGCTCGGTCTCCGTCTTGACGTTCTCCTGGTCTTCGCGGATGAGGTCGGTCAGTTTACGCTTCAGACCGGCCTTCTTGGTCTCGCTGACGGCCGTCCTGGGAGAGTCCTGGGACCCGGGGGTCTTGGCCAGCGACAGCCACTGGAGTAACGTGTTACGCTCGTTGGTCTTAGGGGTACACGGGGTGGTCTTACCCCCTTTCCTGTTCCGGGGCGTCTGAGAATTACCCGACGCCCCCGGACCGCCCCGTCCTCTGGTGCTGGACGGGGTGACGGGCGGTCGTATCCCGGACGTGCTCGGGGTGACGGGCCGCGGGGGTAGTGACTCCTGGCACTCTGACAGCACTCTCTCTCGACTCACCGCCACACCGCCGGTCTCCCCGTCGCCGCGTTCCTCTCCGTACGGCTCGGATGTTCCCCGGATGTTTATTTTCTCGTCGAAGTCGTCCATGTCGCAGTTTTTCCGCCGGAAGATGCGGACTTTCATGTCGTCGGCGCAGGTTACCAGCTGTTAGAGACAATAATATGAGAAACAAACGACAAATAACAAACCAAACCTAACCATGACCTACCCAACCATACCCTGTCCTACCCAACCTAACCATGACCTACCCAACCATACCCTGTCCTACCCAACCTAACCATGACCTACCCAACCATACCCTGTTCTACCCAACCTAACCATGACCTACCCAACCATACCCTGTTCTACCCAACCCTACCCTAACCATACTCTAACCCTACATTACTTTACCCTAACCTAACCCTACCCTATCCTACCCTAACCCTACTTCACCATGTAATGACCACGGTCGTACACGTCAGTTAACGTAAAATCAGACGGTTCACATTACGCTCAATAGCCCACAAAACACGTAGCGAGGCTTTCTTTACTGAGTCTCCCATCTGAGGCGTATGTTTTCTCTCACCCCTGGAGTGCGTCCGAGACTCAGTTATTCCTTAGTATCCAGCGGCTCGAGTCAAAATTTTAAATTGCGTCTGTAGTTGTATATGTTAAGTCAAATTAAAGATGTCTGATTACAGATGAAACATAGAAGATCTCTTGTGAGTGATGTTAAAAGCTTCAACTGTCTTTATTGTTGGTAAAATCTGTCAAATAAGTGAGCGTCGAGTCTGCCAGTAAGAATGGCATCTCATACCATCAGTGGGGAACAGCCATCAGCTTCCAAGTACTACAGATGTTAGATTATTTTAATGCCCAAAGAATCTAAGGTTTGTAGTTTGTCAGTTGTCTATTGAAGAAAGCAATTAATTTCCTGACAATAATCTGTCAAACTCTGTATATCACTATAGAGGCTCCTTGTGTGTAGTGTTGCCGAGCCTGTACAAGTGGTGTTGTCAGTGTGTGTATTTGACGCCCATTTCACCTTTTCCTGAGAAGCTCAAACTCTGATTAGATTATAACAACAGACATAATAAATTCACCTGACCCGTGGCATTGATTTTCATAGTTAAATGTAGCCAACAACAGCTGATTTAAATGTAGTTTCTGTCATTGTGTGATAAGCCCCTCTGGCGTGTCTGGTGTAGCCAACAACAGCTGATTTAAATGTAGTTTCTGTCATTGTGTGATAAGCCCTTCTGGCGTGTCTGGTGCATGGCTCAGTTGCCCGTATACAAACAAATATACGAGGAAGACTCACGCTTGCGACTATTCCTCGACGCACCTCCAGGCACAGAGTGGGTGTCAGCAGCTACCGGGGACTGGCTATCTTACAGGATGTCGTTAATTCGTCACGATTAAACTACAAGATTCTCGCACCCTGGGAACTAAACCCGTGGGATGAGCTCCCTCTCGGAGTGTGGGACTGACCCTAACAGCACACTCCATTTGTTGGTGTAGCACAGTGACTGGTGTGCTGCTCACAGTTATATGTACCAAACAGTATTGGTGTACCTGGTTGGGGATAACTACCAGACATATAGTTGTTGAGTAGTGAACCCATAAATATTGACAGTACCAGTAATGTTTGTCATGTGGGTTGTGAGTACATTATTAATACTACCAACTGAGGTCTAGTAAAAGTGCCATGTTGTTCGTTCCCAAATAACACGATGTTATAAATAATAAGTTAATTTGGGATATTGTCAAGTGTGTCATATAACCATCTGTAGTGGCAGTGAAGTAATATAATGATTGTTTAAAGTTGTAACCAAGAATTGAAGATTTATTTTATGAATTGTAAAGTAAGACCCAAGGCTCTAGTCTTAGCTGAGTGTGTTAAACTGACACCTTATCCGGTCTTAACCTAATAAATATTGATTTAGTAAACGTCGAGTATCACCGCTCTATTCCTTACAATATTTGGTTCTCAGAAAATATTCATTATAATTCACCTGCCAAAAGGTTGAGTCTACCACTCTACCTGACACATCACTGAGTTGTGTTAAACTCTGATAAGTCTGAGTGGCTACTGTGGTAAGTATCATAAATGGTATAGTAAGAATAACTAAGCCATGATAAGAATAAATATAGAGGAACTTAAATAATATAAGATAAAAGTATAGAAAATAACTAAAGAAATATAAGATAGATACTTATAGAAAGAAAGACTTAAAAAATTTAATTATTAATATACACAAGAAAATATGACACCTCAAATCAATCTTACACAGCTAGATAAAAATAATATAATAACTAAAATGAAACAGCCTTCAACCCCCTCTTACAACCATACCCTACCTAACCTAACCCTACCATACCTAACATAACCCTACCATACCCTAAGCTAACCCTACCTACCTTCCCATCATCCTCGGGACACCAACTGACGGACGAAACCTCGGCAAAATGTCCCGAGAGTCTTGCTATGGGGTTCCCCGGGCGATCAGTCAACCATATATAAGCCGAGTTATCGCTGGAGCCGCTCAGTATATACGAGCCGCAGGGACTGATGCATGACTTGACAAAATACGTCAGGTTCTTGTGGCCTGTGTATTCAGCGACTGTCAACGGGATATTAGTTATTACCGACGATGTAAACAATGTGTGGGGAGTGTGTGTGGGGTGTGTGGGGTGGGTGTATAGGGTGTGTGGGGGTGTGTATAGGGTGTGTGGGGTGTGTATAGGGTGTGTGGGGTGTGTATAGGGTGTGTGGGGTGTGTATAGGGTGTGTATAGGGTGTGTATAGGGTGTGTATAGGGTGTGTGGGGGTGTGTATAGGGTGTGTGGGGTGTGTAAAGTGTGACATGTAGAGTGTGTGGGGTGTGTGACAAGTAAAATAATATGATCTACTAACATATTTTGTAGAATCACATGAAGATTAGACACCCCCAGATTATTTCATCTGATTACTAAACAACCTTATGTTACCAGGTTAGGTTAGGTTGGGTTGGGTTAGGTTAGGTTAGGGTAGGTTGGGTTTTGGTTAGGGTAGGTTAGATCAGGTTAAATTAGTTACATTTATTAGGTTAAGTCAGATCAGATTATGTTCAGTAAGGTTAGATTAGGTTAGTTTAGGTTACGTTGGGTTTAGGTTAGGCTTGGTTTAGGTTTGGTTAGGGTCAAAAACATACCTGGCTTCGGGGTCGGATTAGCCAGGTGGTAAGCGTAGATCACATTATCCATACAGGAGGCGTAGAGAACGTCCCTAGCTGGAGAGACAGAGAGAGCTGTGTACCCCTTGTGTGACGACCGCCCGCTGTGCTCCAGGAAACTCTGACACTGGGGGCCGCGTCGTCCTCCTCCGTGAGTCTTGCGGAGATCCCACAGTTTGATTAGCCTGCCGGAGACGTGGTTATGGGTCACTGTACTCGGAGATCAACACCCCATAGTTAAGTTTATATTTCTCCTGAAGATTAATCACCCTATTCTTCACAGGATTAAAAATTACACAGGAATTATATAACCTAACCCAACATAACCTAACCTAACCCAACCAAACCCTAACCAAATCCTAACCTACCCATCGGAAGCTCCAGACGATATAACGACGTGTTGTTTCTGGAAGACGACACCGGTCACACTGTTGTTCACCGCCGCGTTGGCCGCCGCCGTCACCGCGCCTTTACGGAAGCTCGGAGACGCTACGCTTCTGTTGGCTGCGTAAAATAAACAACGGTTAATAATATACAGTGGTGAATAATACAGTGATGACTAATACAGTGATGACTAATACAGTGATGACTAATACAGTGATGAATAATACAGTGATGAATAATGCAGTGATGAATAATAGTGATGACTAATACAGTGGTGAATAATACAGTGATGATCATGAATCCCTCAGACCCGGAATTCTCTAATAGCATGAATTTAATTTTTCTCGTCGTTCCCAAATCCGTAATTTAAAAAAAAAATTCCGGATTTGGGAACGATTTTACTGAAAATTCTGAGAAAATTATCCCAGTACGTAACCGGAAAATTCCAGAGACGGGGGGGGGGATATTTTTCCAGGTTTGAGAGAGTCGTCTGGTTATCTGGAAATGTGTCATTCCTGGAAGTGTTCTGGACCAATTGTTCCAGCTAACAGGGCCACAGGGTGTTCATAAATGATCACCGTAAAGACCGATACTATGGTGGGCTACTGACCGATACTATGGTGGGCTACTGACCGATACTATGGTGGGCTACTGACCGATACTATGGTGGGCTACTGACCGATACTATGGTGGGCTACTTACCAATACTATGGTGGGCTGGAGCTATTTCATCAGCCTTGTGGTAAGGTTTACAGCGTTTGTCCCAGATTATAACATTGCCGTCTCGAGCTCCTGTTGCTATCACACCTGTTGAGAGAGAGAGAGAGAGAGAGAGAGAGAGAGAGATGTAGTTATATCGTGAAAATTAACCAGCCTAGATTAATTCACTGATTAAATAACATAAACTAATCCAACCTTACATAAGCTAATCTAACATTACATATTAACAAACAGACCTATACACACAGAGAGTACTCAGACTAACAGACACAGTACTCAAACTAACACAAAGAGTACTCAAACTAACACAAAGAGTACTCAAACTAACACAGAGTACATGCAAGCTAACACACACACACACGAGTACTCAGACTAACACAGTAATCAAACTAACAACACAGACAGACAGACAGACTAACAGACACCCCTAGACAGATACTCACAAGGGTCGTAGGGATTAACATGTACAGTCTTGACGGATCTCGTGTGACCAATCAGAGCGAGCGTTGCGTCCAGAGTGCCGTCCTCTCGTACAGACAACACAGCAGTTTTCTGATCGCCCGACACCGACACCAATTCAGCCGCGCCGGGCACCCAGCACACGTCAAAGATGGCGTTGTCGTGGATCTGTTGGCCTAGGGTGAGGCAGGAGTTTGTTTATTATCTAGCGGGAAAGACATCTTGGGGTGTGACATCAGTTTGGTAGAAGATAAATTATTTATTAACTAACATCATGACATCTCAGGAGTGACATCAGTTTAATCTTTAAAAGTTTCAAACTGTAAAAGTAGAATAGTTTTCCCATGAATTAAAATGAACTTTAGTCTTTCCCTGATCAAAGCTTAGATGACTGACCAAAGCTTAGATGACTGATAAAAGCTTAAATGGCTGATCAAAGCTTGTGTGTGTTTTTCAAATCTGACCTTTAGCAGTGATATTCAGAGAAGGAAAAAGAGTTCAAGTAATTACTGATTATTCCTGGATGTAACGTTTATCATTACAACAGAATATTAAAGTTATATAAAGGACTAAAAATACTTATAATGACACATGGCTGAGGGAGTCAGTTGTCCTAGTGTTTTTATGGGTAATAACTCGCCCGGGGACAGATCACTGACCCACAATGGGGCCTAAGGGGGAGAGGGGGGGATAGGAGCAAGACACCAGCCCACGGTGCAGCCCGTTAAAGTACCTGTAAAAGAGAGAGAGTGAAGCAACATTGTGGTGAAGAGAAGAGAGATTATCAACTAAAGGAGGAGAGTTAATAAGCCTTTGATTCCAGCCTCTCTAACAGTTGAAGAGCCACCCCAGATATGAGAGCAGTACTCCAAGGAAGGACCAATTAATCCCTTATATACTTGAACCAACAGCTCAGGGGTGAAGTAACTATGGCCTCTGTACAGCATTCACAGCTTTGGGGAGGCAACTTTAGCAATGTTGTGTGGCTTCCATGACATATACAGCTAATGGTGAGGCCCTAGGGAAGGTTAATTTAGGTGATAGTATTAGGTTAATCCTGAAGTGAGAAGAGTCTACACCACACACCCTATAGTACACACACACACACACACACACACACACACACACACACACACACACACACACACACACACACCCCATAGCTATTCTTACCTGGTACGGGGGACACGGGACCAATCTTCCGAGTGTCCCTCAATCCAATCTGGCCATCCTCGTTCGCTAACACCAATATGTGGCCGTAATTCGCACCCGCTCCGAATTTACACACATAAATGGGAGGTTCCGCTGCACCCTGAGAGAAGCCGCCAGGAACATCGGCTGCAATCCCCTCATACTCGTCGCTCCGATAACACTTAAAACCCCAGGCGTATAGACTCTGTTGTGCTTGTTTCACTTGGCCAGTGTCTGTGGGAATGATTATAGCATAAATTACATAGATTAAGGCATAAATTATATAGATTATGGTATAAATTATAGATTATAGCATAAATTATATAGATTATAGCATAAATTATATAGATTATGGCATAAATTATAGATTAAGGCATAAATTATATAGATTATGGCATAAATTATATAGATTACAGCATAAATTATATGATTAGGCATAAATTATATAGATTAGGCATAAATTATATAGATTATTATAAGCATAAATTATATAGATTATAGCATAAATTACATAGATTAAGGCATAAATTATATAGATTATGGTATAAATTATAGATTATAGCATAAATTATATAGATTATAGCATAAATTATATAGATTATGGCATAAATTATAGATTAAGGCATAAATTATATAGATTATGGCATAAATTATATAGATTACAGCATAAATTATATAGATTATATCACATGGAGATTATCCGCCTTTATCCAGTTGGCTTTACCTGGTGATTAATTAACCTAATGCTACCTGGTGGGGGTTAGGTTAGGTTATACAGGGCAACGTATAACTAATACTTAAACTACTACTTCATATACACTTATAATTTGCTTTACTTACAAAATCCTTTAATATTCATGAAAAATAATTAAATATGAATTACTGTACCAACCAGGAGACAACTAATACATATTTAAGGGTTTTATTTCAGTTTAACTACTTTACAGACACTTATACTTAACAAAAAAGCCTTAAATACACTTATACTTTACTTAATATACAATATCCTCAAATAATCTTAGTAAATTAACTAAAAATACTAATTCTTGTATCAACCAAACAACCATCCCCTACCCTACCCCATTTAACCACTTAACAGCCACTTACACTAATAATATCACCCCAGACACTTAATATAAACTTATACTTTACATTACTTACAATAACCTTTGATATTCTTGGTAATTAACTCAGTAATAAGGTGGTAATTAGTGTTAGTCTTCATGGCCTCGTTACCTTCCTCCTCCACCATGTAAACAAACTCTTCCCGCCAAAAACAGAATTCATTAATACCTAAAAAAACATTAATTAATCATTTTTATTTAATTTATCGATTATTTAACACTATATTTATATTTAATTTATGGATTATTAAACACTAATTATATCTATTATAATTTTTCTTATATTAATACCATATTTGAGTTATTAATACCTATGTAATTTTATATATTAAATTATATTAAACATTAATTAATTACGTAGTTTAAGCTTTATTTTAGTGTATTAAAATATATATAATTAATTATGGTATTTATTTTGTTAATAATGTTATAAATAATTGAGGAAATTAATATATTGAGAGGTTTAACAGCATTCATTATTACCAGAAAATTTTGTTATCCCTTTAGTTTTAAAATAATATTATATATATAATTATCTATATATCTATTCTATCTATCCGTCCATCTATCCATCCATCTATCCATCCATCTATCCATCTATCCATCCATCTATCTATCTATCTATATACGCCTGAATTTATCCATTTATCAATATATATAAACATCTATATAATGTATTCCTCTATCTATCTATCCATCTATCTATCTATCTATCCATCTATCTATCCATCTATCCCTCTATCTATCGGTGCGCAAGACGATGGTCACTTGTCCCCCTACGACGTGACGTCATAGAGAGGCCTGACTCCTTCCCTCACATCATCAACAAGACGCCGTAAGTCCCCCCAAAAATCCTCATTTAATGTCTAAAAACTCGATTATTCCGTTATTTTATGGTGTTTTAAGGTATTGATTGGTTTATTTAAGGTTTTAGGTATGTTTTAAGGTTTTATTTAATAGAGAAATAAGTTTAAATAAGGGAGAAATTGGTTAAATAAGATGGTCATGTGGGTTGATGCCTTCCCCACATGGTCGAGGATGGTGGAACACGTTAATGGTATTATTTTATTATTATTGATATTTTTCGTCTTATTTAACTATTTTAGGATATTTTAAGGATTTGAGGATCGAGTTAAGGGTATTAGGTATGTTTTAAGGTATTATTTAATAGATGATAAGTTTAAATAAGGGAGAAATAAGTTAAATAAGATGGTAATGTGAGATGATTCCTCCCCACATGGTCCAGGATGGAGTTAAGGGAAATATTTTATTATTATTGATATTTTTCGTCTTATTTAACTATTTTAGGATATTTTAAGGATTTAAGGATCGAGTTAAGGGTTTTAGGTATGTTTTAAGGTATTATTTATGAGAGGATAAGTTTAAATAAGGGAGAAATAAGTTAAATAAGATAGCCATGTGTTATTTTGGGTTTAATTTTGATATTACACACGTACACACACACACCATACATACATACACACCATACATACACGTACTTACATACATATAACATACAGTATACACACATACACATACTTACATACATACACCCATACATACATACATGCACCCATACATACACCCATACACCCATACATACATACACCCATACATACACACACACACACCATACATACACACACACCATACATACACACACACCATACATACACACACACACCATACATACACACACACACCATACATACACACACACACACCAAGGCGTTGAGTACATTGTTCCCTTGTATGTGATCAATGATAATTTACCCTTGGCAGAATAAATTGTTCTTTGTATTAACTGAAGGAACTAAATCATTAATTTCTTCTATTATAAAGAACAAACAAATTATGGGGTCACCTGATGATTAGTCACCCCTGTATGTATAGTTTATTTCACATGATGATTAGACACCCTATTTCTACCTCAGGGGGTTAGGTTAGGGTCAGGTTAGGGTTAGGGTTAGGTTAGGGTCAAGTCAGGTTAGTATTAGGTTAGGTTAGGGTCAAGTCAGGTTAGGATTAGGTTAGGTTAGGGTCAAGTCAGGTTAGGTTAGGGTCAAGTCAGGTTAGGATTAGGTTAAGTACCATTAGTGTTAAGTTAGTTACACTGAATTAGATGGGGTTGGGTTAGGTTATATTTGCATTTAGAATAGAATTAAGATTATGTTTGGTTTAGTTAAAATAGATTGTTAGGTTAAGTTAATATTGGGTTAAATTTTAGGTTAGCAAAATATTAACCTAACCAAACATATATTATTGTTTCTTGAATACTGATAGTTATGTGTTTACTGTTGTTGTTGTTGTTTACTGTTGTTGTTGTTTTGCAGAAGATGCCGAGTGTCAGCGTAAAGGACGTTAACCAGCAAGGTTTCACGAAGGCTTTTGCAGAGTTCCTTAAAAAGTGAGGCGAACGACGTGGTTATGTTGTTAATTAATGGAGACGCTCACCTGAAGATTAACTACCCTTATGCTAACCTAACCTAACCTTACCTAATCTTAATCTAACCAAACCTAACCTTAAGCTAGCATTGAAGAAATTCCTTGATATACATTTGACTTATTTAACATAGCTATTGTGTGTCTATCCCATAAATCTATCTATCTATCTGTGTCAATAAGTGACCTTTCTCTCTATTTCAGGTCAGGAAAGGTCAAGGTGCCAGACTGGGCTGATCTCGTTAAGGTAATTATTGGGTGATTCAGGTAGTGTGTGTGAGAAAGAGAGACTGGCTGTGTGTGTGTGAGAGAGAGAGAGGGGGGGAATATCTCTCTCTCTCTCTCTCTCTCTCTCTCACTAATTTCTCTACTCCCCCAGACGGCCAAATTCAAGGAGCTTGCCCCCTACGATGACGACTGGTTCTATACGCGTGTGGCCGCTGTTGCCCGCCACATCTACCTCCGTTCTCCCGTTGGCGTAGGAAGCGTCCAGAAGGTCTTCGGCGGTGAGTCAGCATTATGTCGCTTCCTTTGGGGTCTGGGGGATGTTATCGGATAATTTATTTACAACCTCGGGAAATTAAATCTGGGAATTGTGATAGTTAGACCTCCTTATAATGAACTTCTTGTTTGATATAATGTGTAGAGTAAAACCTCATTATAATGGATTTCTTGTTTGATATAGTGTGTGCGTAAAGTAAGGTTTATGTATGTAGTCTCTGATAATGTTCGTGTGTGTGTGTACATAAAGTAAGGTTATGTACGTAAGGTTTATGTATGTAGTAACATGATGTTTGTTGTGTGTGCGTGTGTAAAGTAAAATATGTGCGTAGTACCTGATAATATTTGTCGTGTGTGCGTAATGCTTATATAGTATCTTAATGTTCATGTACGTATGTGTGTGAATAACCTAACCCCAACGTACCCTAAAGCACCCCTGATCCCTTTACAGCACGTCAGAGTCGAGGCACCGCTCCTTCCCACTTCTGCAAGAGCTCAGGTGCCGTAGCTCGCAAGGCTCTACAGACCCTGGAAACCCTCAAACTGGTCGAGAAGGCTCCCAGCGGCGGCCGACGTCTCACCTCCCAGGGCCACAGAGATCTGGACCGTATAGCCGCTCAGATGAAGGCCGCGGCAAAGGTCAAGCCCGCCCCCATCGTTGTCACTGCTCAGTAAACGAATAAACTAAGTCTTTCGTGAGCTGTGGTTTTTTTCTTGATCCCGATTTATGAGTTATTTACAATATTTACGTAAAAATGGTTTGTTTGCGTTTACGGAATGATTTACAACAGTACGGTCATTTACAGTACACGTAAATGTAGTCTATATGATGTATCTATTTTTTATGGCCTTGATAACTCAGAATATATTGGGGTCTTAATTATGCAGAGTTACAAAAATCTCCAAGTTAATGAGGCAATTTCCTCCCTGTTGTGCTTTTGACCTTATTACCTAACCTAAATTAACCTAACTGGAGAAATTACTGAAGAATTAACACACAACAGAACTAAAGGTGAAAGATTATCAAAATGTGAACCTTGAGATGTGGTTTAAGTGACAAGGGGTGAAAGTTAACTTGACTTTACTTTAAATATTACTAAACACTACTGAGCACCGTCTCCGAGAATTAAATAGTTTCTCGGAGACTCTGGGATTCCAATATCAATTCTTGGAGACTGGGATTCCAATGTCAATTCTCGGAGACGGATTCTAATATTAATTCTCGGAGACTGGGATTCCAATGTCAATTCTCGGAGACGGATTCTAATATTAATTCTCGGAGACTGGGATTCCAATGTCAATTCTCCGAGACTCTGGGATTCCAATGTCAATTCTCGGAGACGGATTCTAATATTAATTCTCGGAGACTGGGATTCCAATGTCAATTCTCCGAGACTCTGGGATTCTAATGTCAATTCTCGGAGACTCTGGGATTCCAATGTCAATTCTCTCCTACTAACCTGGTGAAACTATTGGTGTTAATTAAAATAACCTTCCTTTAAACAATAACAAAACACAAGTTCTCCGAGAATTAAATCATTTCCACAATACTCACAGCCTGGGGGTCACCATAAGCAACCATAACTAAAGAAATAAACATAATATTAATGTATAGAAAATATTACAGTATAAATAATGAATAATATATAGACTGTTAACCCATAATAAGGTGATTCCCTTGTCAAACTAGAGCTGACATCATTACATCTATCAATGCAGATCTGTACAGCATCTCTGAATGGGAAGGTAGAAACTTGGTTAAATTTAGTAATAAAACTCAATATTTACCAATTACACTTTTTAAATTAGATGATCTCCCACCAATTACATTTCAGGACACAATCATTCTGTAATAGATATGCCAGGCCTCACCATTAGCTGTAATATGTCATGGAAGCCACACAACATTGCTAAAGCTGCCTCTCCAAAGCTGTGAATGCTGTACAGATGCCATAGTTACTTCACCCCTGAGCTGTTGGTTCAAGTTAAGCTGCCTCCCCAAAGCTGTGAATGCTGTACAGATGCCATAGTTACTTCACCCCTGAGCTGTTGGTTCGGCTAAGTTGCCTCCCCAAAGCTGTGAATGCTGTACAGATGCCATAGTTACTTCACCCCTGAGCTGTTGGTTCAAGTTAAGCTGCCTCTCCAAAGCTGTGAATGCTGTACAGATGCCATAGTTACTTCACCCCTGAGCTGTTGGTTCAAGTTAAGCTGCCTCCCCAAAGCTGTGAATGCTGTACAGATGCCATAGTTACTTCACCCCTGAGCTGTTGGTTCAAGTTAAGCTGCCTCCCCAAAGCTGTGAATGCTGTACAGATGCCATAGTTACTTCACCCCTGAGCTGTTGGTTCAAGTTAAGCTTCCTCCCTAAAGCTGTGAATGCTGTACAGATGCCATAGCTACTTCACCCCTGAGCTGTTGGTTCAAGTTAAGCTGCCTCCCCAAAGCTGTGAATGCTGTACAGATGCCATAGTTACTTCACCCCTGAGCTGTTGAATTCAAGTTAAGCTGCCTCCCCAAAGCTGTGAATGCTGTGCAGATGCCATGGTTACTTCCACCTGGCTGGTGGTTTCCAGGTTAAGCTTCCTCCCCAAAGCTGTGAATGCTGTACAGATGCCATAGTTACTTCACCCCTGAGCTGTTGGTTCAAGTTAAGCTGCCTCCCCAAAGCTGTGAATGCTGTACAGATGCCATAGTTACTTCACCCCTGAGCTGTTGGTTCAAGTTAAGCTGCCTCCCCAAAGCTGTGAATGCTGTACAGATGCCATAGTTACTTCACCCCTGAGCTGTTGGTTCAAGTTAAGCTTCCTCCCTAAAGCTGTGAATGCTGTACAGATGCCATAGCTACTTCACCCCTGAGCTGTTGGTTCAAGTTAAGCTGCCTCCCCAAAGCTGTGAATGCTGTACAGATGCCATAGTTACTTCACCCCTGAGCTGTTGGTTCAAGTTAAGCTGCCTCTCCAAAGCTGTGAATGCTGTACAGATGCCATAGTTACTTCACCCCTGAGCTGTTGGTTCAAGTTAAGCTGCCTCCCCAAAGCTGTGAATGCTGTACAGATGCCATAGTTACTTCACCCCTGAGCTGTTGGTTCAAGTTAAGCTGCCTCCCCAAAGCTGTGAATGCTGTGCATCCCCAGCTTATTTCACCTGAAGAGTAACCACCCCAGCTTATTTCACCTGAAGAGTAACCACCCAGCTTATTTACCTGAAGAGTAACTCACCCCAGCTTATTTCACCTGAAGAGTAACCACCCCAGCTTATTTCACCTGAAGATTAACCACCCCAGCTTATTTCACCTGAAGAGTAACCACCCCAGCTTATTTCACCTGAAGATTAACCACCCCAGCCAGTGAAAATGATCGCCAGTGAAGATGAACGCCAGTGAAAATGATCGCTAGTAAACATGAACGCCAGTGAAAATGATCGCTAGTAAACATGAATGCCAGTGAAATGATCGCTAGTAAAGATGAACGCCAGTGAAAATGATCGCCAATAAAGATGAACGCCAGTGAAGATGATCGCTAGTAAAGATGAACGCCAGTGAAGATGAACGCCAGTGAAAATGATCGCTAGTAAAGATGATCGCCAGAAAATGATCGCTAGTAAAGATGAACGCCAGTGAAAAGATCGCTAGTAAAGATGAACGCCAGTGAAAATGACGCCAGTGAAAATGATCGCTAGTAAAAATGATCGCCAGAGAAAATGATCGCTAGTAAAGATGAACGCCAGTGAAAATGATCGCTAGTAAAGATGAACGCCAGTGAAAATGATCGCCAATAAAGATGAACGCCAGTGAAAATGATCGCTAGTAAAGATGAACGCCAGTGAAAATGATCGCCATAAAGATGAACGCCAGTGAAAATGATCGCCAATAAAGATGAACGCCAGTGAAGATGATCGCTAGTAAAGATGAACGCCAGTGAAGATGAACGCCAGTGAAAATGATCGCTAAAGATGAACGCCAGTGAAAGATCGCCAATAAAGATGAACGCCAGTGAAAATGATCGCCAATAAAGATGAACGCTGGAAAATGATCGCCAATAAAGATGAACGCCAGTGAAATGATCGCCACTAAAGATGAACGCCAGTGAAATGATCGCCAATAAAGATGAACGCCAGTGAAGATGATCGCCAATAAAGATGAACGCCAGTGAAAGATCGCCAATAAAGATGAACGCCAGTGAAAATGATCGCCAATAAAGATGATCGCCACTAAAGATGAACGCCAGTGAAGATGAACGCCAGTGAAAATGATCGCCAATAAAGATGAACGCCAGTGAAAATGATCGCCAATAAAGATGAACGCCAGTGAAAATGATCGCCAATAAAGATGAACGCCAGTGAAAATGATCGCCAATAAAGATGAACGCCAGTGAAAATGATCGCCATAAAGATGAACGCCAGTGAAAATGATCGCCAATAAAGATGAACGCCAGTGAAGATGAACGCCAGTGAAAATGATCGCCAATAAAGATGAACGCCAGTGAAAATGATCGCCAATAAAGATGAACGCCAGTGAAAATGATCGCCACTAAAGATGAACGCCAGTGAAAATGATCGCCAATAAAGATGAACGCCAGTGAAAATGATCGCCAATAAAGATGAACGCCAGTGAAAATGATCGCCATAAAGATGATCGCCACTAAAGATGAACGCCAGTGAAAATGATCGCCAATAAAGATGAACGCCAGTGAAATGATCGCCAATAAAGATGAACGCCAGTGAAGATGATCGCCAATAAAGATGAACGCCAGTGAAGATGAACGCCAGTGAAAATGATCGCCAATAAAGATGAACGCCAGTGAAGATGAACGCCAGTGAAAATGATCGCCAATAAAGATGAACGCCAGTGAAGATGAACGCCAATAAAGATGAACGCCAGTGAAGATGATCGCCAATAAAGATGAACGCCAGTGAAGATGAACGCCAGTGAAAATGATCGCCACAAAGATGAACGCCAGTGAAGATGAACGCCAGTGAAAATGATCGCCAATAAAGATGAACGCCAGTGAAAATGATCGCCAATAAAGATGAACGCCAGTGAAGATGATCGCCAGTGAAAATGATCGCCAATAAAGATGAACGCCAGTGAAAATGATCGCTAGTAAAGATGAACGCCAGTGAAATGATCGCCAATAAAGATGAACGCCAGTGAAATGATCGCCAATAAAGATGAACGCCAGTGAAAATGATCGCCAATAAAGATGAACGCCAGTGAAAATGATCGCCAATAAAGATGAACGCCAGTGAAAATGATCGCCAATAAAGATGAACGCCAGTGAAAATGATCGCCAATAAAGATGAACGCCAGTGAAAATGATCGCCAATAAAGATGAACGCCAGTGAAAATAAACGCCAGTAGATAAGAGGTCACAGCTCAAGGTTAAAGAAGCCGCGGGTCCAGAAAACTGTACTTCTCAATAGTGCGTAACTTTGTCTCCTTTATTTAATATTTAAACCTTCACTAATAAGAAAATGTCCTCTATATAACTCGTTTTAGATTAAATAATTTTGATAAATCAGATGAAAACGACAATTAATAAGGAGAAATAAGGATTAATAATGTGAAATAAGAGGATATTTCCTTACGTCTGTAGTCACTTTAACACCGAACCCGAATGTTTAATGTTGTTAACTCTACCGAACACCATCATTAATGACTTACCTCTCGTAAAATAAATAAATTTGACTTATAATAA